AGGGGCAGATGGTTCCACAACACAGCTGGTAGTGATGAGATGGGATGAGGGAGCGATGCGAGACGAGGAGAGGATGACAGAAAGGGGAAGGCGTGAGAGTGGCGGAAAGCAAGGGGCAGTGCGAGTGAGGGGTGAGGAAGTGGGAATGCAGTATCCCGCTGAAAGGGAGCATGCTGCATGCCGCCCTTGCATGGCGCACGGTATATCAAGTTGAGACTTTGACGCTGCATTGTTCTTCTGGCATGCTGGCAGGGCAGGGCTACATCTGGATGGCGCATCGCTCCCCGGGCGACGTGACATGGCAGCTAGCGGAGCACAGCAAGCGGCGGTGGGAGGAGATGGCGGGCGGGCTGGAGGCGGACCACCGGCGCCTCACAGGCTGCACGCAGGGGCTAGGGCGCATCAACACAGGCAAGGGCTCAGCGGCTGGGGCGCATCAATACAGGCATGGGCCGTGGACGTGCGGTGGCTGAGTGCTTGCTCACTGCACTGCACCCTCCCACGCTTGCTCCTCCTCTCACCCTTTCGCCTTTTCATGGCTGGCTGGCGAGTTAGAGAACAATCCATGGGTTGGTTGGGCATGCAGGACCGTTGTGAGGTAGGTGAGCTGACATGCCAAGCTTCTCCACTCCACCTCCCCGCCTCTCGCTGCCTCTCCCTGCCTTGCCGCACCGCCAGGCAGCATGTTGGTGCCATCACAGCCGTCCCACACAGCCCCACTGGAGCAGCACCACCGGGCGCTGCAGCACGCGGGGCTGTCCGCGCACCTGCTGTCCCCCGCCGCCCTGAGGGACGTGGAGCCGGCGCTGCAGGTGCCGGCTGGGTGCTCGTCCGCGCTGCTGCTGCCCTCCGACTGGCAGCTCGATGCCCGCCTCGCCATGCACGCCCTGCTCGCTGTACGTGCTGCAGTGTATAGCATTGAATGACATTATTCCATGCCATGGCATGGCACGCACTCGCCTGCAGCCACTCAGAATACCATCCACCGCAGCACGATAATGCTCTTCTTCCCCCCTCAGCACTCCCATGCTCTTCGTTCTATCCTCCTGTTTTCCATCCATCCGCTCCCTTTCCTCCTGTGCTGTGCTCTGCGTGTCTGCCACGCCCAGCGCTGTCGCCAGCATGCCGCATCGGGGCGCTACGTGGAGCTGTTTGAGGAGAGCGTCGCCTCCTTCCTCCGGTCAGCACCCACTGCCCCCTGCTGCCCCCTGCTGCTCAACCCCCAACCCCTCTGCTGCTGAAGCTCCACTCCTAGGCATGCTTGGCGCGCGCAGCGAGCTTTGCAAGCATGTGTTTGCATGTGGTGTATGTGCGTGTGTGGCTTGGTGTGTGCGCCTGTGTGGTGAGTGTGTGTGCATGCATGTGTCCAAATGCATGTGTACGTGTGCCAATGCATGTGCTTGGGTGCAATCACCCCCCGTGGGAGTGTGCAGGGCGGCAGGAGGCGGCAGGGTGGTGGGAGTGGCGACAGGGCAGCGGAGGGTGGTGGCAGCACAGGCGGTGGTGGTGGCGACAGGCACGTGGTCGTCGGGCTTCATTGCCCACGCCCTGCTCCACACCGCCCCTGCCTCCGCCACCACCGAGCAAGCCTCTCAGCCTGAGGATAGTCCCAAGGAGGGCACTTCGGGTAGTTTGGGTAGCAGCGCAGCAAGCAGCACGGGTGGCGGCAGGGAGCAGGATCCGGTGGTGCCTCATGTGCGCCCTCGCAAGGTGATGGGTGCTCTGGTCACACACGGAATGCTGCATGGGAGGCACGAGGCTGCACTGCCAGATCTACCACTCTCAGCCCATATGCACACCGTGTAAATACCTGAACACCCGCACGTGCTGCACTTCTTAAACCTCCTCCCTCCCACCCTCGTCCCTTTTGCTGCCTCCACATCCCGCCACACCTACAGGGCTTCCTGTTGCAGCTCAAGGACGTGCCCCCCGTGCTCTCTCTGCGCCATGCCCTCATGGAGTTTGACTACACCGCCAACTATGCCGCCCCCTCAGCTCCCACTGCCTCGCCTGCCACCCCACGGCCCTCTCCCAGCCCCACCACCACAGCCACCATGCAGCCGCCCTCCTCGTCGCCGTCCCCGCCCACTGCCATCTCCATGACTGCCACGTGCGACCACCTCAGCCACCTGCTCATCGGTGCGCCATTCTCTCCTCCCACTCCTCCAACCCCTGCCCTCTTGTTGCCCCGCTCACACACATCACTTGCCCACCCCCCTCCCACCTTGCACATGCCAGCAACCTCTCTTCTGCATTTCGCCTCATACTTGTTCCATGGCTGCTGCCCTCCATGCACACTACCCCCACCAGGCAGCAGCAGGGAGCTGGCGGGCTTCAGTGTGGAGCCCCATGCGCCCACCATCGCTGCCATTCTGCGCCGCACGGCCGTCTTCCTGCCCTCCCTTGCACATCTGCTGCAGCAAGTGGAGGACGAGGCAATAGCTGCTCGGGTGAATGTTGTTCGCACGGGGCTGCGCCCATATGGTGAGTCCTGCTCACTGCTTGCAAGCTCGTTTCACAGTCCTTCATTGTCCTGTGCATCCTTGATTGCACGCAGCCACCTCACTATCCCATCCACCTGTCTGTCTGCAGCACCGGATGGGAGGCCTCTGATTGGCCCCGTGGACTCGCTTCCAGGTGTTCTCTTTGCATTGGGCCATGAGGGCTCGGGCCTGTTGATGGTGAGCGCTGCTTGACTTGACACACCACACCACCATGTCACCGTGATTCTGCCAGGGAGGTGCTCTTTGCTTGCTTGCTCGTATCCCAGGTGTTTTGACCCCCCGCCTCACCTCCCTACCTGCTCAACATGTCGAATAACCCTGTGCATGGTGCAGGCCCCAGGCACAGCTGACATGATAATGGCATATCTGGGGCGAGGCACCATGCCTGTGGACGCCCATCCCTTCCTCCCTCAGGGGCGTCTCCTCACACTGCAGCAGTTGCAGCACATGCATCCTTGATGCTGCTCTCTGGCCATTGAGATGTCATTCATGTGCATGTAGGCCGGCTCTTTTGGAATTTCATCTGTAAAGTGTAGCAGCCACAGTATGTTTGTCGCTGTATAAATCAAATGAAGCCGCTTGAACTTCTACCTGGACGAGTGTCAACGCTGTCTACTGAAGTCTGCAGATTACGGTATGAACAAGTTAGCTGCCTATTTCCGCTGAAGCTACTACGTTCTACTTATCCTCAATATACTCAAATGTCCTCAGTTCCGGGGAGAGGAACTGCCAGTTACTGCCATGCCGGGTTACTGCCATGCCGGAGGGAACCATGGAAGCCCATGGAGTTGCGGTCAGCGGAATGCAGAGGCCGGAGCAGCGCAGCTTCTTGTGCGTCGCTCGGCCGCGTGGGGGGCTCGCTCAGCAGCGCGCGACGGGGCTGAGCTGCCTCGCCGCCTCTGCGTGCCGAGAGGGGTAGCCACAGACGAGGACGACGCTCTCGACTCTTGCTTCTTTTTATGTTGGCCTTTCTCAGAGCTCGTCTTGCGAGCTGGCTGAACCTGCAAGTGACGAAAGGGGAAATCGTTTAATTAGTTATTCACGTGTTAAAATGGCGTCTTTCCTTCGCAAAGAGCGGTTTCCAAGGCTTACCTGATCGTCGTCGTCACTGTGGAGCGACGAGATGTCGTTCAGGGGTGATCGCCGAACGACAGAGACTGGCGAATCAGCGTCGCTCGCGTGGCTCGTTTCGCGAGCGTGGGTGTCGCCGTGCGAGAGGCTGAGGCGCTGCGCGAGGGCGATGATGTCGTCGATGGCTCGCGGCACCTCGGCGTCGAGGGTTCCGCTGCAAAAGGCGTCCACCAGCCGTTCCTCGAAACTGCCGAGCTCCAAGTTCTCCTTGTTCTCGTGGATGCACGATATGCTGCGACCAGGGAAACAATACCGTCTCAGACGAATTTTCCAGGATGAGGAGAGCTTGATTAGGATATGATTAATGGGCTTACCTGTCAATTATGGGCGAGAGAATATCGCAATCCTCGACGGGAGTCAGGCAGTAAATGTGGCGAAGACTGGTCAGTCGGTGGGAACAGTAACGGAAAAGTAGTACCAGCAACAGGGAACTTAGTAGCAGCAAGTGGGAGACTGAGAAGGTGACTAAGCGCAGACGGCTGCGGCTGAGTAGTCGCACCCCCAGGACCTCCAGCTCCAGTAGTAACAGCACCCTCAGAACCAGTACCTCCAGCTCCACCACCGGGACTACCCCAACGGACAGCCCACTCGCGAAGCTGCTGCGGCGAGAGCGACTACTGCCGGCAAGGAGGGGTGGCCAAGACGGTGGTGCCAGAGGAGAGTTTGGTGCGTGAGTAGACGACACGAACAAGACGCAGCGACCTCAACCGACGCAGCTACCTGACCTGACTCAGCCACTTGTGTCAACGAGACAGTGTGGAGTGGAGGCTTGAACTGCCAAGATAGCCATGTTGTCGATGTCAGCGAGCCCCAAAGGCACGAATTGCTAGCGTTGAGCAAGAGCTAACAGGAGGAAGCAAGATCTCTATCTGCCGCGAGGGAACAAGCGAGGTAATCTCAAGAAACTTAAGCACAGAGAAACAACAAGTGGGAGGGATGACGGCCTGCTGCGGAGGCAGTTATGTTTGGCATGGATGGTGTTGGGGGAGCATAGAGCAGCGAGCAGTGAGTGGTGAAGGTGATGGCGGGCCGACATCTCAGCACCGCTGGCCGTCAACTTCGACTTGTCCCCCTCAACGGCCGATGGAGGGCCTGCCGTTTCAACTTTCGGGCGAAGCGCGACGCCCTGGGACCCACGCGAAGCGGGATGGCGCCAGTGCAGTCGAGGCGGCTGGCGAATTTGGATGGCGAGTTCTGACAGACCAACACGCCAGGCCAATGGGGGCATTTCTCAGTCAGGCAAGATTGCGACAGCATGAATTCAATTAAATACCTTAATAAAATACACTTTTGATGACAGCTGGTGCACATAACAACAAACCAGACACCGAATTTACAAGGCCTTAAGCACTTCTTCGCAGATGGCTAGTACTCCGCCTGCATAACTTCAGCCTCCAGCAATAGCACTTCCATCTGCAACCATAACAGAAAGAGTGGAATTTAAGCACTCATTTCAACTGCAGGCATAACAACGGCACCAAGAAATGGCAAGCCATTTACAACCAACAATCTTACCCGAGTGAGAATCTTCTTCTGCTCGGTGACGGCTTGCTTGTTCTCCTGCAGTGTGGCCTGCAGGTCCAACATCTGGCTGTTGAGCCCCGCCAGAGCAGCGTTGAGCCCCTCTGCCCCCGCCCGCCGCGCCTCCCTCTTCCGCCGCAGCTCCTCCAGCTGCTCCCTCACCTGCGCCTCTGTCATGCCGCCCTGCACCCTCTGGCCCCCGCCCCACAGTGACACCCCTGTGAGGGCGCGAATGGCGCTGGCAAAGGGAGAGAGGCCCACTGACAACTGCTCCTGCAGCCCTTGCAGCACACCACCATCGCTGCTGCTGCTGCTGCTGTTACTGTTGCTGCCCCCTTGTTGGCCCAGATTCTCCCCCACCGTGGCATCCACTGTGAGCACGGTTGTGCTCTCCAAGCCCGCTCCCTCTCCTGCACCCAGTCTCACCACCAGTGTTCCCTCCGCTGTTTCTCTCCACTCCACTCCTATCTGTCTTGCCTTCTCGTCTGAGACTGATGGCTCAGCCACAGCCGGCACATCAACAGCAGACAACAGATGCTTCTGCCTCTCTTCCTCCCCACTCGCCTCCTCCTCCCCACTACCACCAACAACCAAGGCTGCATTCTCTGTGGGTAACAGAGCAGGTGCTGAAGCAGAGGGTGCAGGTGGGGAAGCAGCGGGCAGAGAGGTGGAGGGGGGTGCAGGGGGGGAGGTGGGGGTTGCAGGTGTGGAGGCGGAGGGCAGCTTGCTTCTGATTGCAGCCAGCTGAGCCGCTGCCTCTGCCAATGCCTCCCTGGCTGGCTCACGCCCTCCCAGCCACCCCCACAGCGGCAGCACAACTTGTCCAGGGGCAGTGTCAGTGGAGGCTGGGATGGCAAGGGGCTGTGGCGCGGTAGGAGACAGCGAGGACCCTCCCACGCCACCTGCTGCCACTGCACTCGCCTCTGCGCCCTCTGCCGCCACTGCAGCTGCAGCTGCTGAGGGTGCCTGGCCCGCGGTGGCTCCTTCCCCCACGGCCATGACGAGCGCCCCAGTGCTGTCGGCTTGCAGCAGCACAGTGCTCTCCACGCCTCCCACGCACGCACTCACTCGCACACTCCCATCTTCCCCCACCCGCACCTCCGCCTGCTGCACACCCACCGCCCCCTCGCCACCGCCCACACCGCCATCTGCCAGCAGCGCTGCCGCCAGTGGGTGCGCGTCGGGGTCGAGAGTGGACGAGGTGGAAGGCAGGGCGCGTGCAGACGTGAGGCCCACTTGCATCGAAGAGGCGTCTGATGGGGCAGAGGCAGCTGGCTCTACTCCAGCCTCACTGCTGCTGCTGCTGCTGCTGCTGTTGTAAAGCATCTGCCTCCCTACTCCGGCAGATCTCCTCTCACTCCCCTCCTCGCTTCCACTCTCTCCCCCACTCTCCCTCTCCTCCTCGTCACCCTGACTGCACAGCGCCAGCAGCAGGCTGACGTCGGCAATGGCCTGGGGATCCAGAGTGATGTCAGTGATGATGCCGTTGTCCGTCACAGGGTCTGCCACATCAGCAGTGGCACTGGGCTTGAGTCTCACCCCGCCCATCCTGCCATTCACCCCCACGCCTCCCACGCCCGCCCTACCTGCCCCTCTGGCGCGCTCCATGCCTCTCTCCACGCCCTTGGATGCCAGCCCCAGCAGCCCCCACCTCACTCGCACTCCCGAGATCCCACCACCCCCACTCTCCCCCCCATTCCCTCGCTTCCCTGCTCTCCTCAGACTGCCCTCCTCTCCTCGACCACCCCTGGGCTTGACACTTCCCCGCCCCCCATCGCCCTGTGCTGCTGCTCCCTTGCTCCCCCCGCCTGCATCACTTCCCCCGCCTGCCCTTCCCCTTACCCACTGCAGCAGTGCCTGCGCCAGTGCGCCTCCCCCCCCACCCGTTTCGCCTTCCCCCATCCCCTTCACCTGCCGTGCTTCGCCTGCACTCTTCTGCTCGCCTGCCTGCCCCCCCACCTGCCCCCGCTGCTGCTGCGCCGCACCTCCATCTGCCACTGCTGCAGCAGCTGCCGGCACTGCTGCATCTGCTGCCGCAGCTGCTGCTCTCTTATTCGAAGCAGCAACTGATGCTGCTGCTGCTGCTCTCTTACTAGACGCTGCCGCTGCTGCTAGCGCTGCTGGCACTGCTGCTGGCACTGATGCTGGGGCTGATGCTGGGGTTACAGCAGCAGGCGGTGGTGCAGGGCGGGCGCTGGCAGCGGTGGTGGCGGGGGAGGGTTGGAGGGGCACGAAGAGGCGGGCGAGGGAGGCAGCAGCGGACCCCAGCACATAGGCCGCCGCCACCTTGGAGCGCTGCAGGTCGAATGGTAGCTCCACTGCACTGCCACCACTGCCACCACTGCCACTGCTGCCGCCGCTGCTGCCCATTGCTGCGGCCACCAGCTCTCTCTTGCGCGCCCCCTTGCCCTCCTCCTTCTTCCTCCTCGCCTTCCCACCTGCCTCCTTCGCCTCCCCCCTGCCACTGCCCTTGCTCCCACCCCCCTCGCCTCCATCCCCCTTCCCTGACCCCCCTTTGCTCTTACCCGATGCTACCTTCTCCCTGCTCCCCGCACTCCCATCCTTGCCCGATCCATTCTCCCTGCCTGACCCACCCTCTTTACCAGACCCTTTGTCCTTGCCCGAACCCGAGTCCTTCCCCCCCGCCCTGCCCTCCGCCCCCCCACTGTACGCCTCCGCATGCGCCACCACAGCGCCAGTAAACGCCTCCCTCACTACCCGCCGCCCCTCGCTCACCATGCCCTGCACGCCCCCCTCCCCCCACCGCACTGCCGGCCCCTCCACTGCGCCCTGCTCCCCCTTCCCCCCCTCCGCCCCCACCCCCTCCCCCAGCACCCGCCTCAGCGCCTCCAGCACCACCTCCGCCCCCTGCCCTCCCCCCCCTGCGCCCAGCGCGCCCAATGCCCCCAGTGCGCCCGCCTGCCCCTGCGCCTCCCCCTTGCCTGCTGCCGCCCCTTGCCTTGACCCCTTCACCCCCTCCTCACCCTTCCCTGCCTTCCTCGCCCGCCTCTCCCCCTTCCCACTGCCATCCGACCCCACACCCTCCTCGCGCCCCTTCCCCCTGCTCTCACTGCCACTCCCCCCTCCCCCATTGCTAGCCGCCCACATCTGCTGCAGCGCAAACACCACCCCCTCCTCCACCCTCCCCTCCCCTGACCCCTCCGCCTCCTTCCCCGCTTGCTTCTTCCCACCAACCCTCTTCCTCTCACTCCCTAAATCCTCTCTCTCCCCCCTCCCTCTGCCCCCCCAAGCCATCACTAGCCCTTCAACGCCCATCCCCTCCCCTCCCCTTTTCCCAGCACTCCCCCCCTTCTCCCCAGCCTCTTTCCGCGCCTTGCCCTTCTCCCCCTTCTCCTCCCCCGCCCTGCCCTTGCGCCCCTCCACCCGCCCCGCCACCCGCGCCTTCTCCTGGGCAGCGCGCGCCTTGGCCTGCGCCATGGCGCCCCCTCCGCGCCCCAGCGTGGCGTACGCCGTGCCTGACAGCGCTGCCTGTGTGGCCGCCGCCAGGCGTGACGCGCGGAAGGGCTCTGGCGCGCGCATGGAGAAGAACGCGTGGCGCAGCGCCTGGGCTGCGGAGGGCCGCCCGCCCATGGCTGTGAGGAGGGTAAGGGGAAATGGGGGAAGAGAGGAAGGGAGGGGGGATGATGTGGGGGGTGAGAGTGGGGGGAGAGAGAGAAAAGAGGGATGGTTGCACGCAAACGAGGATGAACGGAAATGCAAGGTGGAAGTTGCATGTGGAGTGATGGACAATAGCCCAGGGGACAGTGAGAAGGAAGGTGTGCACGCGCATGAGTGCGTGCATGCATGGGCTAGGCCCCCCAGCACCCAGCACCCACCGCTGGGCCACACGGCTTCCTCGTGGTTGGGTCGCTTCCTCAGCAGCTGCTGCGCCAACTGCCATGCCGCTCCGCCTGTTATGCCAGGGGGTAGGGGCGAGGGGGAAGAGATGGTGGAGAAGAGGAGGCAGGAGGGGCAAGACATGGGAGGGCAAGGGGAGGGAAGGCAAGCGGTGAGAGGAGAGGGGAAGCGGGGCATGCGGTGCACGGGCAGACAGGAGCATGCGAGGCGTCTGTGTAATGGTATCAGCTTCCGTCTATCCTCCCAGTCATGGGGTGAGCGGCATTCATGGTGGCATGCAGCGGCAGCAAGGGGGCACGGGAGGCATGGGAGGCATGGGGGGCGCACCATTGGCATCGAGCACGGCCATGTCATCATCGCTGGGGTTGAACGTGGCCCTCCACTTGGCCAGGTCGTGGTCGCACCGCCTCAACTCCTCGTTGAACTCCTTCTGTGCTCCCAGGGAGAGAGGAGGCGAGCAGGGGCAGAGGCAGCAGAACGGCAGAGCAACGTGAGAGGGCGAGGTGATGGGGTTCGGGTAATAAGAGATGACGAGTGCACGGCGGGGCGGGCAGAGAGGCACGCAAAAGAGGTAGCAGGAGCAGGCAGTGGGCCGTGCAGCATGAGCGTTTGGCGCCCAGGCATGCGAGGGGGACGCATGCGAGGCACAAGGGACGCACCAGAGCAGACGCATTGCGCAGTCGCTTCATGCACAGCTGCATCAGCACTATGCCCTGCGCGGGACAGCACGGGGGAAAGGGGGCATAAGGGGGAAGGGACGGGAGAGAAGCGTGAGGAGATCAATAGGCCGAGATGGGTGGGGAACGGGAGGACGGGTGGGGAAGGGGAGGACAGGCGGGAAAGGCGGCAATGGGGAGAGAGTGATGGAGCGTTGAGGGAGTGAGGGAGCAATGCACGGCGAGTGAGAGGGTGAGTGAGAGGGGGCGCTCACCGCGGAGTAGACGTCAAAGCGGTCGGGTGTGTTGAGCGCCCACAGGAAGGGCGACAGCAGCGACGCCAGCGGGTCGGGCGGCAGGGGCGGCGTAGTGCCGGGCGGCATGACGAAGCGCTCCGGTGCACAGTACTTGGGATCCATCACCGTCTCGTTGGGTACCTGTTGTGGGGGGGGGAGGGGGTGCGGGGTGAGGGGGGGAATGGGGGGAAGGGGGAAGAGGGGGGGTGAGGGGGGTGGTGGCACATCATGAGGCAAGAGAGACGCCACAAGGGGATGGGGATTGAGTGCATCACATGGTGGAGCGCAGTGGGCACGCATGCCATGGCATGGCTTGGGGCGCCGTGCAAGTAAAGGCATGGCAAGGCAGGGGCGGGGGCCGGGTGGGGGTGGACGCACGTAGTTGTGGCCGGAGCGCAGGTCGACACAGGCGCCCAGGTCGATGAGGCACAGACTGCCCGCGAGCTCGTCCAGTATCAGGTTCGACGGCTTCACGTCCCTGTGCACCACTCCTGGTAAGAAGGGAGAGTGACGAGGGGCGGGGAGGGGAGAGAGGGACCATGAGATGTGGCACGGTGGTGGCTCTGACAGCAATGGTGCCCTCAGGAACGGTGGTGGTGAGAGCGAATGCTGTGGGGCAGGTGAGACGGTGAATGGCAGTGTGGCAGGCGGTGGTGTGAGTGACTGACCACAGGAGTGCAGGTGCTTGAGGTCGGAGAGAATCTGCCTCATGACCTCCTGCGCCACCTCCCACTCCATCCACACCTGCTGCTCCCTCTCCTCCTCGCTGCTGCCCTTGCTGCCCCGCAACAACTGCTCTCACACAGGTGCACGCACGTAGGCAGACAGGGAAGCAGGGAGGCCAGCGTGAAGGGAGCAGCACATGTGCAAGAAGGACACAGGGTGGACCTAGCCAGGCAGGCAGCACACATTGCCACCCCCTGCTAAATACATCCCTCCACCCCACCCCTGCCTTGCTGCCCTCATGCACCTCACCATCCCCCCCTTGCCCATACTCCCCCACGTGACACATCGCCCCCACGCCACCCCAGCGAGTGACTCACAGCGTCGTCGACGCCCAGCACGTGTTTGGCGAGGTTGAGCGGGTAGGAGCGGTGGCGCAGGAACTGGTCCAGCGTGCGATCGCCCTGGTACTCCCACACCAGCCACACGCCCTGTTGGGGCACCGGCAAGGGGGGGAGGGGGAACGGGCAGGGGGAGAGTGGGGAGGGTGGGAGGGAAGGGGGAGGGGTAGGGTGAATGGCAGGGGGAGGTGACTTATGGGTTACTCATATTGGTGCAGCGAAGTGCGCGTACACACCCAAGGTGGTGGAAGGAGTGGGTGGGAGGCATGGTGAGGGGCCAGCGAGTGAGAGCGTGTGTGGGAACAGGGCAGGGTGCGAGGCACAGAGCGTTGGGGCATTGAGACGACACCTGCTCCCACCACACCCACAAGCCGCCTCCCACGTGCACCCACCCCGTGAATCGCCACTCCCACGTGCAAACGTCCCTATACCTCCCTGGGCCCGCCCCACCCCGCCTCCAGCCCCAGCCCAGCCCCAGCCCACCCCCAGCCCAGCCCCAGCTCTTACGCAGCCGTGCGCTCACCTCGTCGAGCTTGCCGCTGGCCTGCTCTGCCGCCACCTGCATGGTGCCTATGAACCGCGCACACACGCCCGGCGCCGTGCGCTGCGGGGGGAAGGAACGGGAAGAAGCGGAAGGCTGGGAGGGGCGGAATGAAGAAGAGTCAGGCGCGGGTAGCATGAGCGGGCGGTGAGAAGGGAGCAGTAAGCGCACAACCGCCGGGAGCTGGGGCACTACAAGGGGGGATGCTTGTGCGCACCTGCAGGCGGTGGTTCATGTAGAGTTCGACGTCCCTCATCTCATCGGAGTGCTTCACCCGCGACTTCACTCGCTTCAACACCACCCTCCGCTCCCACCGCCCCTCCTTGCCCGCCTTGCCTGCGCGCACATGCACACACACACGGCGCAGCGGAGCACAGGACAGCGGGACGGGGACGGCGGTGAGGGGGTGGACATGGGCATGGCTTGACGTGCGAGAGGGGAGACAGAGACTCACATGCACACAAGGAGAGAGGGATATAGAGGGAGGGAGATAAAGGAAGAAAACAGCGGCGAGCGTACCGTTGGAGATGAAATCCTCGACACCACGTACCGTTGGAGATGAAATCCTCGACACCACGTACCGTTGGAGATGAAACCCTCGTACACCACGCCGAAGCTGCCCTCGCCTATCTGCCGCCCCACCTTCACCCGCGCCGGGTCCAGCTCCCTGCCGCGAGGAGCAAGGGGCAGGGCGCAGGGACAGGGGGATAGAAGGGGGAGCGGGATAGAGGGGCCGAAGCGGAGCAAGGGTGAAGGCTACGGGCAGCAGCAGGGCCGGCGCGCACGGGCCTAGAAGGCACACTGGTGGAACACGGGCAGCAATGCGATCTGATGGCAGCAGAGCGGAGTGTGGACGGGAGTGCGGACGGGAGTGCGCACGGGAGTGCGGACGGGAGTGAGGGCGCGAGGCGGGCGCATTACTTGTCGGTGCGCGCGTGCAGGGGCGCGACGAGGAAGTCGAGCAGCCCCATGAGCGGCGCGGGGGGCGCGGCGGCGTACAGCACGAGCAGCACCAGCGCCACCGTCCACTGGCGTAGCGACGCCTGCTCGGGTGACGCGCGGGGAGAGGCGGAGGGAAGGGGGAGCGGGAAGGAACAAGAAGGCCAGGGGTTGGCCGGGAGGGGAAGGAGGGGACAGTGGGGAGGAAACAGGGGGAGGAGACGGCAGGGGGAGGAATGCGAGGAATGGATGCGCGGAGCCAACGGGGAAAAGAAGGACCGGCAGAGGCGGTGGAGCCGGAGAAAGCAGGCACGAGTCGGGTGCGCGGCGGCATGGCTGGTGGGCGGAGCGGCGGGCGCGACTGACCGGGTCGTCGAGCGGAATGGAGAGGCCCGCGTCCGCCGCGAGTTGCGCGATCTCGCGGTGCACCGCCACCACCGCCTGCTCCACCTCGGGGGGTAGCCTGCCATGGCGCCGCAGGGATGAAAGACCAAGTCAATCTACCAGAGCATCTGAGCCTGCTCGCCTTCCCCCGTGATCGCTCTTCGGTTTGCGATTCCAGCCTCCATGCGACAATACCCGCTCACACTCGCCTTATCCGTACGCCTCGCAACACGCTTAGCGCTCTGCGACGCTTCCGCTTAACCCTGCTGTCTTTCCTCCGATCCCAACTCCCTTCTAGCACCCACTATAACTCGTTTCTCCACGATCATCCACGCCGCACACTTCAGTCGCACAGTCTAGTCGCACACTAGGGCTCGCGAGCAACCTATCAGCCGTATGCGCCGCTCACCCATTAAGCAGCGCCTCAGCCATCTGCCCGTACGCCTCGCCCGCCATCCCCAACGCATCCGCGCCTCCGCTCTCCGCGCTCCCAACCGCCGACACCACTGCCAACCGCCGCCGATCGCGGCCTACCGCCGGCCGTGGTATGCATGGCGCGACGAGCTTCCTACCGGAGAAGGAGGAGGAGAATGACGACGCGGCGGAAGCGTGCGGGGAACGGAAGGGAGAGGACTTGCTGCTTGGTGAGAGACGTGACGACGCTAAGCGAATTAAGGACGCGGAGAGGGAGACGACTGGTCCGTACGACGGCGACGCGTGAATTAAAGCGTTGGAAGACGATATGCACGCGTCAATGGCAGCGGCACGTACGCTCGATGCGACTAACGCCATTCTCGCATCCCCCCGGATAGGTGCCTATAGAGCCTCCTACTAATGTTGTAATGTGTTAGCTGCTAATGAGCAGAAAAAGGAGGTGATGTGGTGTTGAGGTTGGCTGTTGAAAAAGGAATGGCGACGGCGAGATTCAGTGCGACGTCTTGCGAAACTAATTGGCCTTCCCACACGAGAGTCTAGGACCACATGGCGAAGGCTAGGGTTGGTCGCTTCCACAAGCGACTTATCGTCAACATCATTGCGAGGACGTGCCGTGAGCTGTGATTGGCTGGAGATGCGGAAAAGCAACATCTAGGCTCGAAATTCGCCCAGATACACCCGTTTGACTGCTCGGGTGATTCATTGGGCTTCCCGCTGCTGAGCTGGTGTGGGTAAGCCGCCCTTCGTCCGTGGAGATTCGAGTCGGTCGCTCACATTAGCCACACCCCCGGAAAGAGGGATGGTGTTCTCCCCCTGCCCCGCTTTGCGGCCTGGTTCAGCAAAATTTGCACGTTACTTGAATTCATGATATGTTGTTCATATAAATTTTCCACATGCAACAAGCGTTCTAAGAGTTGAGAGCAACTGAGATTCACACATGGGTGTCGCCAGGAGACCGTCTACACGGCAATCGCTCAACCTGGTGATTCAAATGGGGGAAGGCACATATATTTTTAAGGCAATAGTGTCAGAGAATATGTCCTACTATGCGGGTAATACAGACCAGAACAAGGCAGTGCAAAAGGCTGAAAAGAGTATGAAGGAAAGAATGCTGCATTGCATACCGTGGTGGCATGTCGTTGGAGAGGAAATCTGTAACCATTCCCAGCACGGGCACTGGAATCTGACAAGCACTGCTGCCGCATGCCTCCTCTGCACCACCACCACCCACTCCAGCACTGCCGCCACTGGCACTTCTAGTCATCTCCGCATCCTCTCTTGAACCTCCCCTGTATTCCCCACTTCCCGCTACTGCCTCACCAGCTGCAGCAGCTTCCATCTCTCGCAGGCGCTGGACAAAGAGTGCTCTGGTGTTGCCAGGACCATCAGTCCCATGGCACACAAACATGGAATAAAAGCACATAAGTGAACAGCATCTTACCAAACAAAAGAATGCGAGCAACTGTGTGCCAGCTGCTGAAAATTCTGCACTACACAAGTAGGACGGAACAGAACGGCAAGTAAGGCACAGAAAAGCAGGGAGGTGCAGGGGGGTCATGGAACGTACGGGGGGAAATGAGGGAGGGAGAGGGAGAGCAGCACGAGGTGGAAGTGGTGGGGCGGGGAGAGGCGTGCGAGGGCCTCTGCTGGTGAGGCCACGGCACAGGCTGCATCGGCGAACTGGGAGACGGCCACTGCTGCTGCCTTGCGCGTGGTGAAGCAGGGGTCCACCACCTGGCACGGGGGGGTGGGGGAGAAGGGGAGGGAATGGTGGGCGGAAAGCTTGGCTTACTAAAGGCTTTTGGCACATGGAAGTGTTGTGTGTGCTGCACTGTTTGTGGGCCATGGGAACGATTTGCCCTGCAGCCCCATGTTGAACCCTCATTCCTGTCCGCTAACCACCCACACACCAGCACCACTCTGCACCCACCAGCACCACTTTGCCTCGCAGCAGTCGTCTGAGGTGCAACTGCTGCTGCTGTGCTGCTGCCTGCTGCACCTCCCTCGCACTCACGCCCAGGGCCTGCCGGGGGGGATGGGGGAGGTGGGGATGGGCAGGAGGCGAGGACTGGAGGAGTGGACAGGCAAGGAGGGGAAGGCAAGCAGCGTTCAAAAGAAGGGAATGATGTAGCAGCACAGACATATCCAAGCGAATCACACAGCACACACCTGCAGCATGGCTGTAGCGAGCACTGGCGTGCGGAGGGGCTTGAGGGCAATGCAGGAAAATCCATGTGATGCTGCTGCCAACGCCATGTCCTCACTCGTTGCCTGCACGCGGTTCACACACATGCACACACATGCACACGCACGTGCACGCGCACGCACACACACACATACCCATGCACACGCACGCACAGCACAACGATGCATGTATGTGAGCACGAGCGAGTAATGTCATGGCACTGCACTGCTCCCACCACCGCCACCCCTGTGCCTCAACCTTCATGCATCGGGACCCCTGCGTGTGCCTCTCTGCCCCATGTGAGTGCCACTGACCTGAGCCACCAGCACGAGCTTGCATGAGATGGCAGGCAACACTAGCGACTCTGCACTCTCCGCCCACCGCTGCTGCTCTCCCTCTGCCTCTGCCTCTGCCCGCTGTTGCTGCTGCTGCTGCTGTGGTTGTGCCTGTGCGTGCTCCTGTGACTGCTCCCTCTCACCCGGCTCCTTCCTCCCCACACGCCCTTCCACCACCCCCTCCCCACGCTCGCCCTCTCTGCACTCACCCCATGCCCTCTGCTCTGCCTGCCCTGCGCCCATGTCCGGCCCCCCACCACACCCCTCTTTCGCCCCACTATCCCCCTCGTCCTCCCCACCCACGCCATCATCTGCCAATGGCGTGAACCCTCCTCTGCCCACCGTCTCTGCCCCTGCCCCTGCCGCCGCTGCTGCTGCCCCTGCTGCCTGCCCACTGTCCATGTCCCCTGCAGAAAAGACCGTAGCAGGAGCAGCGGGGGCAACAGCAGAGTCGCTTCCGGGAGCATGTGCAACGTGGTCAGCAGTGTGGGAGTAGGCATTATGGGTGGCATGGGCGGCGGCATGGGTGGCGTTGATGCGGGCCACATGGGAGCCGAGGAGAAGGCCAGAGCCCGGGGTGCCATCGCAGTCTGCATCCACCAGCACCACGTCCCACCGGCTCCCACCGCTCCCCACCCCTTCCTGCCATGCCGCTGCTGCTGAATACACGGAGGGGAGGAGGCATGCATGGAAGAGACAGAAGGGTGCTCTGAGAATGAGAGTGGAAGGAAAGAGCACGGGAGTCGGAAAGAAGGGGCAAGTGCCAGTCCTCAGCATGCTGAGCGCCTAGAGAGCGACGGTGGGAAGGGACAGGAGAGAAGTGGGGCAGGTGAGAGGGGCGCGGGAGGCAGCTGACCGGGGTGCAGGGCGGGAGGGGCGCACTGCAGGGCAGCGACGGCGTCAGCCACACTGTCTGCGAGATCCACGTCCATGCCCAGGCGGGACAGCAGTGCCGCTGCTACCTGGCAGGGGGGGAGGGACGGAGGGAGAGCAGGGATTGGGGGGAAGGGGGCGGAAGAGAGTGGGTAAGATGTGGTGTGTGAGCAGGAGAATCAGTGACACCACGCAGCAGGCAGCAGAGGGCAGTATGAGCAGTACAGAGGGCGGGCTTGCCTGCTGTCGGATGGGGTTGCTGTCCACCACAAGGCACCGCACGCCCTGCACCTGCTCCACCAGCGGCGCCACCACCTCCCACTGCTCGCCCCCCACCCCCCCCACCACCCCCATCTCCCTCACCGCCCTCCTCTCCGCCGCCCCCACCTCCCTCACCCCCACCTCCCCCATCCACCCGCCCCTACCCCCACCCTCGCCACCTCCTCCCCCATTCCCCTCATGTGCACCCCCCCTTGCGCCCCCCCTTGCGCCCCCCTCCCCTGCGCCTTCCCCTGCTGCAGCAGCACCGGGATCCCTTGCCCCCCCGCCCTGCCCCGCGCCTCCCCCCAGCCCCATGGCCTCCCACAGCCCGCCGTCCGCCCCCACGCTCTCCCACAGCCCCACCAGCGCCGCCAACCCCCCCTCGCTGCCGCTGCTTCCCCCTGCACGGGGGAAGGAGGGCGCAGAGGCGGGGCGGAAGGCAGGGGGAAGAGGCGCATGGGGAGGGGGAGGTGATGAGGCCGAGGGGAGAAGGGCGGGGGAGGAGGAGGGCGTGGGGGCGAGAGGGGGGAGGGCCATGGGGATGGTGAGGGCGACGGTGGTGCCGATCGTGGGTGCTGTGGTGAGCGAGAGAGATCCGCCCAGAGAGCTCGCCAGGCTGCCAGGGGGGACAAGGAGGCATGGATGGGGACGGGGAACGTGGGGACAGGTGGGTGGGCGTGAGGCGAAGGCAGGGCAGGGGCGCAAGAGGCAGGGGCGACGGAAGGACAAGTGCCCGCTACCCAACCGGCCAACTTCAAGCCTGGAACTCACAGGTGTGCGTGGGCGAGCAGCAGGGGCGTGGTGGCATGGAGAGGCAGCAACGCCTCTGGTAGAGCAGCACAGGCGCGGGCAGCAGCGTTAGCGCCATCCATGGCGTTGAGTGCGTCCACCACGGGTTGCGGCACGCCCGTGCCCGTGTCCTCCACTACCACCTCCACCCACACCTGCCCCATCCCACTGCTGCTGCCACCACCAGCAGCCGCAGCAGTAGCAGCACCAGCGCTACCAGTGGCAACAGCGTGTGAGACGGCAGCAGCGAATCGGCTCTCCTGGTCGTCCAGCAGCCGCCTCAACGCGCCCCAGCTGCACCGCCCGTCCACCACCCGCCTCCCACTCAAACTGTCCTTTCCCCCCTCCCTCTGCACCTGTTCCTGCTCATTCTGCTGTTGCTGCTGCTGGAAGCGCTGCTGCTCCTGCCTTTGCTGGCGATTCTGCTGTTGATGCGTCTGCCGCTGCTGCTGGCGGTGCTCATAGGCATCGCTGTGCGCCATTCCCCCCTGCTGCAGCCACGCGTCAGCGGAGAGCGATGCAAACACACCCGCCCCGCTGTCAGCCTGTTCCTGCCCCCCCTGCTCGCTCCACGGAGCAGCATAGGCTGCTAGACGCCGAGCGATGCCGCCCAGCCCGAGGAGGTCCGGGCTGGAGAAGAGGGAGGAGGGGGAGGAGGGCGCGGAGAAAACGGAGGGGAAAGGGGCCGCGGAGGCAGAAGCGGATGCTGTGGTGGGGGGCGGGGAGAGGGGGTGGTGGTGGGTGGGCGGTGGGAGGGGCATGCGTGAGAGCGGCAGGAGCAGGCTGTTGTCCTCGCCGTGCCTCGGTTGCACGCCCGCATTCTCAATCGCTGCCACCACTCGGTGCTTCTCATGCGCACGCTGCTGCTGCTGGCGGTGGAGGGCCTCTTGGGGGTGCAGCAGGCGCACGCAGAGCAGCACGTGGCCCTGCTCCGTGCGCTGCACTGCTGCCGCCGCCACGCACAGCAGCAGCTGAGGGGGAGAAAGGGAGGGTGAGAGAGAGGCAGGAAGGCCGTGAAGGAGGGACAGACGGGGCAGGAAAGAAGCAGCGGTGATGGTCTTTGCAGGAATGGGCATGGCAGGAGAGAGGAGCAGGGGGGATGGGCAGGGCAGGATCAGGGGGCAAGGAGCGGGGAGCAGGGGGCAGGGAGCGGGGAGCAGGAGGCAGGGAGCGGGGAGTGGAGAGCAGGGGAGGGGGAGCAGCGGGGACCTGTTTGAGGAGGAGGGGGTCGGAGAGCAGCAGCGGGGGCACGTCGTCCATGACCAGGCACGCCAGCTCCACCCCCTTCTCGCGCGCCTCCCCGCCCACCGCCGCCACCACCTCGTCCGCCACCCCCCGCACGTCCACCGCTGACGTCACCACGGGCAGCGGGCCGGCCTGCGCGCGCCACGTGGTGCTGGCGGCGGCGGCGAGGCGGGTGAGGTGCGCGGCGAAGGCGTGGAGCGAGTGGATGAGGTCGAGGTGCATGGGGTCGCGCACGGTCGCCGCCAGCAGGCGCAGCATGCCCAGCGCGCCTGTGGGGGGAGCGCGGAGGCGCGTGGAGGGTCACGCGCACACGCAAGGCGGGCGAATGAGCTTGAAAGTGTGTAACGAGGGGGGTAAGCACACGAGAAGCGGAACTGACAGGGATGGGGAGCGGGAGGGGGAGCGCAGCGCACCTCTCATGGGCGCGGCTATCCCGTGGACCAGCAGGTCGACAGCAGCTCGCGTAGCCATGTCCCCATCGCGTGAGACCAATGCGCCAACCGCCGTGCCTGCATCCGCACCTCTCGCTCTCGCACTCTCCTCCTCCCCTCCGTCAATCTCTTTTCCTATCCACCCTTTCTTCTCCACCATATTCTCCTCCTCTTCCCCCTTGCTCACCCGCTCCTGTTCAACCGCCTGTTCCCCCTTCGCCCCTCGCAAACGCATCTCCAGAGCGCGCACTCGCGCCGCCTGCCCAGAAAGCGCGCGGAGCAAGAGCAGCGCGAACCCCAGCACGGCCAGCGCCGCCACGGGAGGGCTCCACGGGCGGTGCAGCAGCTGGTGGGTCGCGTGGGTCGCCCAGTCGCACGTGTCACCACGCGAGGCGTCGCACGCTGCGACGGGATGCGACGAGGGCAACGCAGGCCCCAATCGCATGACGTTGAATGCGAGGAGGAGTGCGACGCCATAGCCGCAGAATACGACGATGCTCGTCAACGGATGGAGGTCGTGACTGCGATGGCTGTGCGAAGAGCGCTGCGAAGAGCGGTGCGACGATGAATCTGCGCTCGTGTGGTCGCTGGACCTGACTGCGCGAGGCACGAGGGGGCGTCGCTCTGACGCCTCCATCTACCATGCGTGGACGAGCTGGCGAGTCCCTCAACCAGGAAGCGCTCCGTCGTGCATCTAATGCCTGCCAGATAGACTGCGACAGCTATTATGGGCTCTATGAAAGCGAGATATTTGTGCTAACAAGCTCGCGCTCGATGATAGATTGTCTAAGAGAGATGGCGAGAAAGAGTATAATTAGCACTGGCAAAAAAAACTGTCTAACAGTTAGAATGGACATCGATGCATTGCAAGAGCAATCCACTCACCAAGAAAGAGCAGCCATTACTGTGCTGCAAGGAACTATTTGGAGATTCTGAGGTGACTGGCAGCTGGGATGAGCTGGGCGCAGCAGTTCCCGATGTTGCTTGTCAGTTGAAAAGTGAGCAAGGCTCGAGGTCAGACCACGAGCGGGAAAGCTGCTGATTGGCGGTTGCTGGTTCTGGCTTTGTTGGGTTCGCCTGTTACCAACGGCCTGGCGAAGTTCGCACGCTTAATAATTGTTCGCAACAAAAGGAGCTGGCTCTCGGGATTATGTAAGGGCGTGGAACATTTCGACGACCACGTCAAATGGTCGAATTTGTGGTTGCTTCTGGCGATTGCGAGGCATTTAGGGAAACCCCACCGTTTGACATGCCCAGTATTCACCCTCACTCGACCGAAAGTCAATGGTATTTCCCGTAGGATTGCTGTCGCGTACACCTACACTATCCAGAGAAGTGGGACAACGTTTAACTTCGAGTCTACCCCCAAAAGTGTTTTCCAGCCCCACTCTACTTGCAAAACACACAACTCTCCGCTCCCCCCGAAGTCCCACACCCCTTTCGAATGCTTAAACTGGGAACAGAAGTTTTTTCTTAGTGGGGGTGGTATTTAGTGGGTGCCCCACGTGCTGGCGAACAAAATAGCTTAAAAATCTCGCATCCTTCGCATATCTGTTACACTCTTCGCATTCGCCAGATCCAACCATACGGGCAACCATTTGGCATGGTCGTAAAAATGTTCCACGCCCTAATGGGATAACCAAGATCAGGACGGACAAATCAAGCTGTTGTAGCGAAGATCGCGTCGTACCATTGAGTTTTCCCGCTTCCCCTCAGCTCGTATCATATTTAGGTTGACATGCGGCGGTTATAGCGAAGATCGCGTTGAATCGTTGCGCAAATAGAATCGACGCGGCAGTCGTCGAGTCAGATCAAATCATGGCTACCGCTGTCATCGCCGCCGATCCGCACTGCGCTGAAAGCGCCGACGCGGGCGGCGGGGTTGACGACGCGACGAAGGGCGGCGCGGGCGAGGGCGCGATCTCGTACGACGCGTACCGATCGGAGGAGGCGGATCTGGCGGCGGTGATGCGGCTGGTGCAGTGCGAGCTGTCGGAGCCCTACTCCGTCTTCACCTACCGCTACTTCCTCCACCACTGGCCGCACCTCACCTTCCTCGCGCGCGCCCCGCGCTCCGCCAGCCAGGACGGGGCTGAGGCGGCGGAGGGCGAGGCGGAGGGGCGGTGCGTGGGCGCGGTGGTGTGCAAGATGGAGGCGGAGCGCGCCGTGCCGCGCGGGTACATCGCGATGCTCGTCGTCGCCAAGGAGTTCCGCGGGCGACGAATCGCGACGAGCCTCGTGTCGCGGTGCATCGAGGCGATGCGCGACGCAGGGTGCGCGGAGGTGGTGCTTGAAGCGGAGGTGACCAATGAGGGCGCGCTGGCGCTGTACGGGAATCTAGGGTTCATACGCGCTAAGCTGCTGCACCGGTACTATTTGAACGGCTCAAATGCGTTCAGGCTGAAGCTGTTGCTGCCGTCGGCTGGCGATGCGGTGGAGGAGGAGGAAGAGGCGGCTGTGGCGGCTGCGATGGGTGCTGGGGCGGGCGGGCTGGCTGCTGGCATGCAGCGGGGATGCTGTGGGCATGACCATGGGCACGGGCACGGGCATGGGCATGGGCATAGTCATTCGCATGGGCATGGTCATTCCCATGGTCACTCGCATGGGCATGGTCACTCTCATGGGCATGGTCATAGTCATGGGCATTCGCATGGACACAAGCACAGTCATGGGGACGCACATGCACATAGTCATAAAGATGATGGTTGTTGCAGTGGCCACTCCCACTCCCATGACCATGACCATGGCCATGCACACACCCACACTGATGACCATGCACATGCCCATGACCACACGAATGCACATGACCACGCGCACACAGAGCAGCAGCCCAAGGCACCAGCAACGCCAGAGCCCCATGCGCATGCGCCCACCCCCTCCTCTGCCTCTGAACCCACCAGTGCTGCCGCCAGTGCTGGCAGCAGCGGCAGCACAGAGGGGCGCAAGGCGGGGGCCAAGGGGCCGGCAGGGCGACGCAAGGGAAAGGGGGGCAAGGGAGGCAAGGGGAGATGATGCTGGGGGGAGGCCGTGTGGTTGAAGGCGGGTATTGGGCTTGTGCTGTTGTGGCTTGTGGTTTGGATTGTGTTTCACTAGTGCCTAAGTTGGATGTTTCATTTGAAGGTGTTTCTAGAGCACAAGCAGCTGTGCTGCTTTAAAATATCAGTAAAATGAGAAAGGGGGGGAAAATGTGAACGAGAAGTTAGCTTTCTCGAATCAAACAAAGCTTTCTCAGATCAAACAAATACAGCAGGGTGCCATAATACGCATGTCTTGATAGTACTGTTGCAGCTGGGTGGGGGTGGGGGGTGAACGCAGCTGTGGGGAGGGGGGGGAATGCAGCCAGGTGGGGGGGGGACGCAGCCAGGTGGGGGGGGAACGCAGCAGGGTGGGGGGGGAACGCAGCCGGCTGGGGGGGGAACGCAGCCGGGTGGGGGGGAAACGCAGCCGGGTGGGGGGGAAACGCGGCTGGGTGGGGGGAGAACGCAGCTGGGTGGGGCACAGCGAAAATGGAGTGGTTGAATTGTGGTGGGAGGGGGGAACGGGGAAAGCGCATGGCCCACGGCACCAGATCAGCGAGCTGAGCCAGCGAGGGGGGCCTGGGGTAGAGAGGGACGCGCGCATGGCATGAATGCACTCCCTCTCCAACGAATCTCTCCCACCATTCCCAATGTACTGCACTCTACACGAACTCTGCTGCCATAGCACCATGGACCACCACCACCATGCGCCAAGAAACGAATGCACGTGAAACAGACAGATGGGGATAGCAAAGGAAAAAGGAAGGACGGGTTGCGGAGGGGAGACTTCCTACAGGAGAAGCGTGGACGCAGAGAGTGAGTCGCAATCCTTCAGGGCGGCAGCAGCAAGTAGCAGCGTCCCACGCAGATCGTCGCCATCAGATGAACGTGGCGTGCGATTGATTGGATGCTGTCTTGTGCACGCGAGGGAGAGGGAGAGGCGCCACTGCTCTGGGGGACTGTGAGGGAGAGGCGTCACTGCTCTGGGGGACTGTGAGGGAGAGGCGCCGCTCCTCTGGAGGACTGTGAGGGAGAGGCGCCGCTGCCCTGGGGGACTGTGAGGGAGAGGCGCCGCTGCTCTGGGGGGTAGTGAGGGAGAGGCGCCGCTGCTCTGGGGGGTTGTGAGGGAGAGGCGCCACTGCTCTGGGGGACTGTGAGGGAGAGGCGCCGCTCCTCTGGGGGACTGTGAGGGAGAGGCGCCGCTGCCCTGGGGGACTGAGGGAGAGGCGCCGCTGCTCTGGGGGGTTGTGAGGGAGAGGCGCCACTTCTCTGGGGGGTTGTGAGGGAGAGGCGCCGCTGCTCTGGGGGGCTGTGAGGGAGAGGCGCCGCTGCTCGGGGGGTTGTGAGGGAGAGGCGCCACTGCTCTGGGGGGTTGTGAGGGAGAGGCGCCGCTGCTCTGGGGGACTGTGGGGGAGAGGCGACGCTTCTCTGGGGGGCTGTGAGGAGGAGGCGCCGCTGCTCTGGGGGGTTGTGAGGGCGAGGCGCCGCTGCTCTGGGGGGTAGTGAGGGAGAGGCGCCGCTGCTCTGGGGGGTAGTGAGGGAGAGGCGCCGCTGCTCTGGGGGTTTGTGAGGGAGAGGCGACGCTGCTCTGGGGGGCTGTGAGGGAGAGGCGCCGCTGCTCGGGGGGTTGTGAGGGAGAGGCGCCACTGCTCTGGGGGGTTGTGAGGGAGAGGCGCCGCTGCTCTGGGGGACTGTGGGGGAGAGGCGACGCTTCTCTGGGGGGCTGTGAGGAGGAGGCGCCGCTGCTCTGGGGGGTTGTGAGGGCGAGGCGCCGCTGCTCTGGGGGGTAGTGAGGGAGAGGCGCCGCTGCTCTGGGGGTTTGTGAGGGAGAGGCGACGCTGCTCTGGGGGGCTGTGAGGGAGAGGCGCCGCTGCTCTGGGGGGCTGTGAGGGAGAGGCGCCGCTGCTCTGGGGGGTTAGGAGAGAGAGGCGCCGCTGCTCTGGGGGGTTGTGAGGGCGGTTGTGAGGGTGCAGGGCGGAGAGGGGAGGGTGGAGGGTGGAGGGTGGAGGGTGGTTTGGAGGGTGGAGGGAGAAGAATGGAGGGTGGAGGGAGGAGGGTGGAGGGTGGAGGGTGGAGAAAGGAGGGAGGAGGGTGGAGGGAGGAGGTTGGAGGGAGTACAGTGGAGGGTGGAGGGTGGAGGTTGAGGGAGGAGGGTGGAGGGAGGAGGGTGGAGTGTGGAGGGTGGAGGGATGAGGGAGGAGAGTGGTGGGAGGAGGGTGGAGGATGGAGGGTGGAGGCTGGAGGGTGGAGGGTGGATGGATGAGGGTGGAGGGAGGCGGGTGGAGGGTGGAGTGTGGAGGGTGGAGGGTGGAGGGTGGAGGGAGGAGAGTGGAGGGTGGAGGGAGGAGGATGGAGGGAAGAGGGTGGAGGGAGGAGGGTGGAGGGAGGACAGTGGAGCGTGGAGGGTGGAGGTTCAGGGAGGAGGGTGGAGGGAGGAGCGTGGAGGATGGAGGGTGGAGGGTGGAGGTGGAGGGTGGAGGGAGGAGTATGGAGGGAGGAGTATGGAGGGAGGAAGGTGGATTGTGGAGGGTGGAGGGAGGAGGTTGAGGGTGGAGGGTGGAGGGTGGAGGGAGGAGAGGGGAGGATGGAGGGTGGAGGGTGGAGGGTGTAGTGGAGGGTG